CACTGTTTAGCCGTCGATGATCAACATAGAAACGAATTGTGCCGTCTTTCTTCCTCAAAAGAACTACGGGGGACGACCGCGTACTTGACGAGCGCGATATGATACCATGCTTAAGCATGTGATCCACTGCGCGTTCAGAGGCAGAGACTCGACACGGGTGATATCGAGCAGGAGCTTCAGTGCCGATGTCAATTTTGTGCAGCACCAACGGGGTGTGACTGAGCTCACTGGGTGACATCACCACGCAGTCACGGAATTTCCGTAGAAGCGCTTGAATCTCAGCTTTCTGCTGCGGAGTCAAGTCGGGGCTGAAGTTGAATTCATTCCAGTCTAAGCATGATGCTGTTGGTGGTGGTGGTGCTACGGGCTGTACTACTGCTACGACATACGGTGCTTCCATGTAGGTAGGTACAGATACCGAGGACGGTGCCTGACGGCACGAGCAGGATACTGTCGGACAGGTTGAAGACAAGCACTGCAAAGGTTTTGCCGGAACAGCAATGGAGGGCCCGCGGCATTGCGAATTCGCCTCCAGGCCGAGAAAAAACTGTATTTTCTACAATAATGTCCGTGTCAGCAAAGGACTTGTCGGGACTGTAAACAGGAACCCACGCAGCAGAAGACAAGGAGATGGTAACTGAGGTTGTTGTAATCACAGAATTGAAAAGCAGAGATGGTTTTCCGATTTCAGGTTGTTCACTTCTGCTTGTACCCACGGCCGTATTTGTGCCCTTTGTTGGATTGCCGACTTTCATACAAATTGTAATAATCAGACTTTTCATCATGGGGTAGTTGTCAGAGCGAGCACGGAGCGCGCTTTGTCATCAGTTCTGTAAATGACATGACTCAACGGGAAATACGACTGCTTAGAGCAAGCTTAATTCGAAGTTTCAACAATTGCTCGAATTGGTGTCGAAGCGATAGATGTCAATTCAATGGTGGAATCAGTGCCGTTAAACTGCAAAATAATGCTGAACTCTGCGCACCCATTACAGCCTAAGATCACTGGCACACACGTTTGGGACAACAAAGAACCGCTGTCTCACTGTCTTGCCAAGTGCACACACATTCAGGCAGACTTCGCCGAGAGTATGTTGAGTGGCTCCGTCAGCTAGGGACGAGATGAGGTGATCGACTTGCTCAGGACTCACCGTCAACATTCAAGACAAAAACTCATCGCTAAAAAACTAAATGCAGCCCTTGTGTCCACTCGTGCTTCAACGTGCTGTGGCGGATCTCCAAGCTTCACCAGCAGAGTTAGCATCTCGGTGAAAGGGCCTAGTGAAAGAAGATGGGCTTCATCTATCATGCAGGGTCTTGCCCTCGATGACCTGCATTGTAGTTTCCCAAGGAAGACTGCATAGGAAGAGCTGAGTTTGTCAGCGACTCGGTCACCCGTGGGCAGTTCCGAGCGAAATGCCCAACATCGTGGCAGCGGCAGCACCGGAGTACCACTGCAGAGTTGTGAAGCTGAGTAAGAGCCAAATGTCGGGTATGGGATGGTGCGTCCGGGTAGGCGGGCCTCCGGTATGAATCCTAAGCTGCTTGCGAGCGTTCTTGTTTATCCGCCTCAAGAGCAGCAGCTAAAGCTGATCGTACGTCGGTCGGATGAGCGAGGTGGACGAAGTGCTGGACGCTTTTGTTATCAATGGCATCAACAAAGGCATTGGCAGCAATAAGGTTTATGGTTGCGGTAGGGCAACCCGACAAGGCTTTCCGGGACAAGCTGTCGACGTGAGAATCGAGCTCTTCAAGGTCGCGGTGACCTTGCTGTACGTGTTTCAGTTGTGTGAGGTAGAGCTGAAGAAGATGACCTATCACCAAATCTGGTTTACAGCGCCGAGACGACACCTTCATAGTTCGAATGGATGACTTGCGGAATGTACTTGAGGTTATCAACCACGGCGCCATGGAGCTGCACATCGAGCATCTGAGCTTTATTTTGAACTGTCCAGCCGTTTAGAGCATCATCAGACAAAACTGCTGCCTATGACGGGTTCTTTCGAAGGTAAGCGGCAAAAGTTGTGCTCCCAAATACCAAGGCGAAGCTGACAGAGGAACGTTTTGTTCGACCACGATAGACACACGTTGCTAAAAATCAGACTGCTTCTCAATGACAGAGAGCCACGCAGATAGGTCGGCAACGACATCTGCCATGGGGGCACAATGGGCGAGTGTGGCCTCAAGAGAGAACAAGCGGGTAGCGAAGCAAGTTTGAAAATCTTGCATATGGGTCGTCTGTCAGCCTCACCTTGAGGAACAAGGGCTTGTAGGCAGTCAGCTATGGGTAGACTGGCACCAGCGCTTGACATTTGAGGGTGATTTGGCGTATCCTGGACATCATACTCCGAAAGAAGAGGCTGATGGGACGCTGGTGGCGGGTTGTGTGATGACACCATGCGCCCGCGGTCTGTGCCAAGCTTTTTGCATAGTCAGGACAGGAGTTTCTAGGGCCGTCGACGACGTGTCGTCTTCTGTTGGGTTCATCTGTGAAGTGACCACTGTTGTTGTCATCGTGGCAGTCTTACTCCTTGTAAACTTGACTTAACGTTGGCACCGCTGCCACGAAATGTAACGTACAAGAGCCAATCAATCGAACACAATCCGACACAACACTGTCTTCGTCGTTCTCTTTTTCCCGGTTGACCCCTAACGCGCCCGCTCACCCCGTTGCTACGATCCACTACAATATATATATATATATATATATATATATATATATATATATATATATATATTATATATATATATATATATATATATATATATATATATATACATATATATATATAGTGGGGTGAAATTCAATGGATCCGGTGGGAAATTCGGTATAAAAAGAGGTCGACAAACGTGCAAAAACACAAGTTTTACTAACGTTTTGGCAGGTGGGCCTGGCTTCGTCGGAGTGAATCAGGAACCCTTAATCAGCGACCCTTTTTCTACCGTATATAATTACATATATATAAATATATAGGAAAAAACGGCGGCAGAAAAAAGCAGGCGAGATTGTCCGCCATGATTTTATTGCGAAAACAATAGAACAATTATTAATATAAATAGATAAAGCGGACTAAATAGTAACCCTTAACGAAAGATGGGCTCGTACTGCATCTATAACCCTGTCTCAAACGAAATGGACTTTGAACCGTTCAGATGACCCACGCGTATTTGTGATAGGGCGTAGTGAAAAGATGATGTACGAATAAAATAAACTGTAGCAGCCACAATTAGTTCATAGTTTCAAATGTTAAAACCAAGATGTTTTAGCTAACCTGACGTTTCCGGTACAAATCAGTCCCGAAAGGTCGGGCTCCTTTAGGTCATTATTTTAACACTAATAATTTTGAACTAAAAGCGGCTGGGAAGTTTATTCTATTCGTATGAATTTTCCCCAAGCTAAATAGATCTCCGTCGAATATGCTCATTTTTAGAAACATGATGCTGATCTAAAAAAGACCATAGAATATTTATAGTAAACCCTAAAGTTTTTCACTATCAGAGTACAAATACGACCACACAACGAAAAAGTAATACTAGTTGGAAGTCAGCGTCTGTCGTTCCCTTGCGTTTCACATAAATTTCGGTGTTCTTTTTATTTTTTCGCACAGTGAACCAACCTGCTGGAGACATAACTTTATCGTGGTAAACGTACCTTTACTAGATATATTGTTACTGTTTCATAAAAAGAAATTCGGCCCTAGTAGTGACAACTGTCTTACACGCGATGTGATGCTGCATGCGTTTTTTTACATTGTTTGCAGACCAGTTACTCCGCAAATTTGCTATAATTATAAACACTAGATTTCAGTGATTTCGAAGCAAACATTCATGCAAAGTCACTAAGCACATTGATGAAATGTTCAAGTACTGTGTCAAATATATCTTAATAAGTTCAAGGTATGTGAGGTGCACTAGAAGAAGCTCAATTTAGTTTGTCAGCATGCTATTTTCATTTCATTCATGTTCTTCACACGAAAGCAAAATACTTTTATAGAAGAAATTATATAAATGAAATGTTGTAGCACACTGAGGCCAGCAAGATAAGGCTATAATTGTTCAGACACTATCTTACATCTGATTTTTGCCTTCATTCTGTGTGCTTAGAGCAAGGATATTAAGAAACACGTAACGACCACGACAAATTTACAAGCTGCTGGCCAGCGAATTGCTCAGTAGACCTGAAGACGGTATCAAAATTGTTATCAAATAATGGTATCATTGTTGTTTCGGTAAGACTGCTAAAACACACTACTAACTTTCGTCGCAACAAAAGCAGCTTTGTCTAAACTTGCTTCATTATGCGTGGTTGTGTAACGCACAGAGCGAATATTCTATGAACATAACAGACTGACAAATGAGTATGACTTAGCTAAAACACACTACTAGCTTTCGTCGCAACAAAAGCAGCTTTGTCTAAACTTGCTTCATTATGCGTGGTTGTGTAACGCACAGAGCGAATATTCTATGAACATAACAGACTGACAAATGAGTATGACTTAGCAAGCAATGTGCTATATATGTAACAAGAGTTGATACATGATAGATATGGGATACAAGCATATAGTTTTATAGGGTACAAGCCTCAACAGTGGCATTGCAACACGAAGTTTGTATTATCAATTATTCCCCATTAAATTTTTGCATATGACACGGCACTGCGGTTGCATACTAAGAACTTTCTAATGTTAAGAGTAGTCTGTTCTCCTCTGCCAAACTCTTGCTATGAGCAGCGAGTGATTCGTTTTTGTTTTCGAAAAAAGGCTCATTTTATGCAGTTTAAAGACTCTGCAAAGAGGGAAAGTGTGCTACTACTTCACGCTACGACACTTTTCGCTAACGTTACGAACAGGAAGATTTTCTAATGTTTGGACCCTCCACTACGAAATTTTTCATAATCACATCATGGTACTCGCGCGGTAAACCACACGTAATATAATTTATTGGCTAATTCTTTGCTAATGCGTGCATATAGTTATGCCGAGAGCAATCTTTCCACTCACCACCTACAGAGAGGGAAAGCAGGATTGGAAGTAGCCAAGTATTCATTGCCATTACTCCACCGTCCTCGTATTCAAACTAAACGGCGTCGTTCATTTGTCGTGAGTCCACTCAGAGCACCACTCTTGTCAAGCATCTAACATGGGCCATAAAGTTGTGGGGCAGATTCCGCGCTTTTGCTGCGGCAATTCGATAACACGGGAATTGCGGGCATGCCTCTTACCCAGCAGATGAGAGAAATGTGGCGAGAGTTTGTGACGCCACTGTGAAGAACATCCTGCTCAGAAGATAAGCAAGCCTCCCAGAAGAATGCGTCGCCACCGTAATTGTCGGTCGGCGGCGTATGTGTTGGAGGGGGAAGACAATGCCCCCACTCCGTGTGCACTACACATTAACGTTGCTGAAGCAGCCCACCTGAGTGCTTTACACGGGGTAACTGGCGTATTGTAGCATTTTTGCAGCACCGTCGCAAAGTCGCCATTTGTATATCAGGTCGGAGTAACGGCAGGGAAATGTTACAGCGCTAGGACACCGGGTCTCGTACTTGTATACTGGCACGAGCCGTTCACCAGTCGCGCGCAGTTGTAGCCGCTGCGGTAGCTACCTCGATAGACTTGAAACATTACTGTTCTGAAGTCGCTCAGCATACCCCGCTTCTACTATGCCTGGTGAAACACGGGTAGATGCCAACAAGGGCGCCGCCGGGAATCACTCGCTCACAGCCTTAACATTTAGAAAAAAGGTATTATCATTATTCTTTCTTTTGTAGGAACCTCTTCGCGCCACCGACTAAATAGGCCCTTGAAGCCGCCTTACTACATGAAGTATTTTCTAGTAGGCAGCCAGAAAGAGGTCAGTTGTGGACAGCTAGGAGCAGTTTGTTTTTGAAGGCATGTTCGAACTGTGCTAAGTTAGAAGCAATAAACACGTCCACACACTTCTCCCAAAAAAGTGCATTTCTTGAATGCACCGCATATACAAAAAGGCATTAAGGACTAATGGCACCAATATTCTTGCTTGATAAGCGTGTCAACTTCAGTTTGTTGCTTCGCCCTGTTTTCTAGAATCTTGCGGTCTGGAAAAATGTAGGATTCTCCCGCTGTCGTGTAGTAGCTGAGGTGCTTGCCCGCTGACATGAAGGGTGAAGGTCTGAAACTGGCTGCTGAATTTTGATATAGGCTGAAATGGCAGACACCCTGTGCAATGTCAGTGCACGATAAAAAGCGCGAGATGCTCAACATTTTCGGAGCACTCAAAATGCTACAATTGCCATTATTCTTGCCAACTACTATAAAGTTAAAAATTTCTTTTTCCACTGTCGTTCAAAAATTTGTTGTAATGATTGTATTCCATTGCATAGAAAGCCGCTCCCCCTTGACCGCGCTCACGCATGCTTATCTTGGCAGTATTCTTGGTGACCATTGAAACTGGCAGTGCCACCTCAAGATCTGTGTTTGAAGTCAGCAGCTACATGTTTCGCACTCTATCGAATAAAGGATGAGTTTTCAACAAATACCATCAACATCTTGTACTTTTTGTCTCTTCTATCTCGTCTAACAGACTGTATGGATTCATGGGCATGGGTATTCACTACCCACCTAGAACCTATCCGACGTCTGAAGAAATGATCTGTCCGAACTATTAATTTCTTGCGGTGAAAGGAAGCCCACAGATCAATGTTTCATCATCATCATCATCATCATCCTGACTACGTCCACTGCAGGACAAAGGCCTCTCCCATGTTCCGCCAGTTAACCCGGTCCTGTGCTTGCTGCTGCCAATTTATACCCGCAAACTTCTTAATCTCGTCTGCCCACCTAACCTTCTGTCTCCCCCTAACCCGCTTCCCTTCTCTGGGAATCCAGTTAGTTACCCTTAATGACCAGCGGTTATCCTGTCTACGCGCTACATGCCCGGCCCATGTCCATTTCTTCTTCTTTATTTCAACTATGATATCCTTAACCCCCGTTTGTCCCCTAATCCACTCTGCTCTCTTCTTCTCTCTAAAGGTTACACCTACCATTTTTCTTTCTATTGCTCGCTGCGTCGTCCTCAATTTAAGCTGAACCCTTTTTGTAAGTCTCCAGGTTTCTGCTCCGTAGCTAAGTACCGGCAAGATACAGCTGTTATATACCTTCCTCTTGAGGGATAGTGGCAATCTACCTGTCATTTTTTGAGAGTGCTTGCCGAATGTACTCCACCCCATTCTTATTCTTCTAGTTACTTCAATCTCGTGGTTAGGCTCTGCGGTTACTACCTGCCCTAAGTAGACATAGTCTTTTACAACTTCAAGTGCACTAATACCTATCTCGAAGCGCTGCTCCTCTCCGAGGTTGTTGTACATTACATTCGTTTTCTGCAGATTACTTTTAAGACCCACCTTTCTGCTCTCCTTGTCTAACTCCGTAATCATAAGTTGAAATTCGTCCCCTGAGTTACTCAGCAATGCAATGTCATCGGCGAAGCGCAGGTTACTAAGGTATTCTTCATTAACTCTTATCCCTAACTGTTCCCATTCTAGGCTCCTGAAAACCTCCTGTAAGCACGCGGTAAATAGCATTGGGGAGATTGTGTCCCCCTGCCTTACACCCTTCGTGATTGGTATTCTGTTGCTTTCTTTATGAAGCACTATGGTAGCAGTTGATCCCCTGCAGATTTCTTCCAGGATATTTATATATACTTCATCGACGCCCTGATTCCGCAGTGTCTGCATGATGGCTGATATTTCTACTGAATCAAACGCTTTCTCGTAATCTATGAAGGCTATGTATAGTGGTTTGTTATACTCTGAGCATTTCTCTATTACCTGATCGATAGTATGAATGTGGTCAATTGTTGAGTAGCTTGTTCGAAATCCTGCTTGTTACTTTTGTTGATTAAATTCGAATGTTTTCTTTACTCTGTTAGCAATTACCTTTGTAAATAGCTTGTATACTACAGAGAGCAAGCTAATCGGCCTGTAATTCTTCAAGTCCTTGTCATCTCCTTTCTTATCTATTAGGATGATGTTAGCGTTCTTCCAAGACTCTGGTACCCTTCCCGTCAGGAGACACCTCGTAAACAGGCTGGCTAGTATTTCTAACACAATCTGTCCTCCAGCTTTCAGCAGATCTGTTGTTACCTATCCTCACCAGCAGCTTTGCCTCTTTGCATGCTATCTAAAGCTTTTCTGACTTCTATCATTATTGGTGGGGTGTCATCTGGGTTACTGCTAGTTCTTATAGTATTAAGGTCATGGTTTTCTCGGCTACTGTACAGGTCTCTGTAAAACTCCTCCGCTATTTTAACTATCCTATCCATATTGGTTGTTCAAATTGCCTTCTTTGTCCATTAGTGCATACATCCGACTTTTGCGTATCCCAAGTTTCCTTTTCACTGGTTTGACGCTTCCTCCGTTTTTCAGAGCGTATTCAATTCTCTCCATGTTATACCTTCGTACATCACATACTTTACGCCTAATAATCAACTTTGAAATCTCTGCCAGTTCTATTTTGTCTGTTGTACTTGACACTTTCATGCTTTGACGCTTCTTAATTAGGTTCTTCGTTTCCTGGGAAAGCTTGCCAGTGTCCTGTCTAACTACCCTGCCTCCAACTTCCACTGCACACTCCGTAATGATACTCGTTGGATCATCAATCATTGTATCTACGCTAAGGTTGGTTTCCTCACTAAGAGCCGAGTACCTGTTCTGCAGCGACAATCTGAATTCCTGTACTTTACCTCTCAGTGATAGCTCATTGATTGGCTTCTTGTGTATCAGTTTCTGTCGTTCCTTCTTCAAGTCTAGGCGAATTCGAGACCATACCAATCTATGGTCACTGCATCGTACCTAGCCAACCACTTCCACATCCTGCACGATTCCTCGGTGTGCAGTCATTATAAAGTCTATTTCGTTCTTATTTTCGCCATTAGGGCTCCTCCATGTCCACTTGGGGTTTTCTCGTTTTCGGTAGAAAGTATTCAAAATCCGCAAATTATTGCGTTCTGCGAATTCTTCCAGAAGCTCTCATCTGGCGTTTCTCTTGCCGATGCCATAATCTCCTACTGCCTGGTCTCCAGCCTGTTTCTTCCCTACCTTTGCAATAAAGTCGCGAATCACTATAGTATACTGTGTTTTTACCTTACTCATTGCCGATTCCACGTCTTCATAAAAGCTTTCAACTGAAGCGTCATCATGGCTGGATGTAGGCGCATAAGCCTGTACTTCCTTCATCTTGTATCTTTTATTCAGTTTAATTACAATACCTACCACCCTTTCATTATTGCTATAGTATTCCTCTATGTTGCCAGCTATGTTTCTGTGAATTAGGAACCCCACTCCCAGTTCTCTTCTGTCTGCCAAGCCCCGATAGCAAAGGACATGCCCATTCTGTAGCACAGTATAGGCCTCATCTGTCCTCCTAACCTCACTGAGCCCTATCATATCCCATTTAACACCCTCTAGCTCCTCGAATAGTACAGCTAGACTTCCTGCACTAGATAAGGTTCTAGCGTTAAACGTTGCCAAGTTCAGGTTCCAAAGGCGGCCTGTAGTCCAGAGATTCTTGGCACCCTCTGCTGCGTTGCAGATCTGACCGCCGCCATGGTCAGATGCTTCGCAGCTGCTGGGAACTGAGGGCCGTGAGTTATTTGACGTACGCCTGTGGGAGGTAGTGGCCAGATACTGCACCAGGGTGGCCAATCCTTCTCTGGTGAGGGAGTGTGTTCCCGGCTTTGGTTACCGGTGAGGCCGCACCTCAGGGCTCCTAATGCAGTTCCATCAACACGCGGATTTCTTTTTCACGTTAGGAACTGCGCGGCACCGGGAACTTTAAATCCTACCATTCGATTTCTTTCACAAGTTGAGAGTGACAAACTCTATTACAGAATAATCAACGACAAATATTGCTTCAAGATACTAATATTGCATAAGTGAAATCGCCCGACAAGAAACAATTTTAACATACCATTGACAATATATATATATATATATATATATATATATATATATATATATATATATATATATATATATATATATATATATATATATATATATATATATATATATATATATATATATGACCAGACGCAAGAGGAACGTGTAAGGATAGAACTATGGAATGACATACCACTTGAGGGAAAACCAACCAGAAA